ACACATTCCACAAGCTTTGTCCACATTTGAAAGTGGTGGTTTACTTAAAAAAAATTACAATGAAAAATTTGCTGCTTCCTATGTTTACCTTGTTTCATAGAATAAAGATACTGCTTAATTTGTGATAATGCAGTTCTGTCCGCTTTACTGATTTTGGTAGCCTTTTCTACTTTCTCTTCCTTCCTTTATTTGAAAGCATAGATCAGTTTTCAAGGCTGCCATGTGTACTGTACCACGTAGGTATTGAATATACTCTGAGTATATAGCATTTGGGGAGGATGAAACCTCTGATTTAATTGGTAGAGGGAACTCCCATTGAATAAATACCCTCAAGCAGTGTAGATTGGCATCTGCGATGTCACTTAAAGCCCTGGGTATTTGTGATGGTTGAGATTCTCTCTCTCTCTGTGTGTATGTGTGTGTGTGTGTCTGTGTGTGTGTGTGTGTGTCTGTCTATCTCTATCTCTGTCTCTCTCCCCTAGGTTGGAAGTGCAGCTCACCATCTTGGGCATGGACTTAGTGCAGGTAGGCTTAGGACTCTGCAGTTCAGAACCCCTGAGCTCAAGTGATCCCTCCGCCTCAGCCTCCCCAGAAGTAGGATTACAGGCTTTCCTTTGATCAATCGCTCCCTCTCTCAAGGGCCCCCCCAACGGTTCAGGTGTTTCATGACTGCTAGGCTGTAGTGCTGCTGACTCTTTCTACACCTCTCCCCAGACTGCGGGGTTATCACATAATCGATGAGCTTCTTAGCATGGTTGACGTCTTGTTACTCTTATTAGCTCCTACAAAGTTAGAAAGAACTGACTCAGCTTCTCCAGCTGTCTTCAGTCAGCGAAGGCGGCACTGCTTTCCATCTGATCAGCGCAATGACCCACCCTAGTGTGGCTCGGGTTTTTATTTCTTGGGCTGTTGCTTGATTGCCAGAGATTTTTTTTTTTTTTTTTTTGCATAAAAAAGCAAAAGACAAAGTCTCAGCATTTTTTGGAGGGGAGAGTCCCTCATTTAGGATGGCTTAGGTGGTGGGATATGTAACATTTCCACTCCTTAGTTCACTGTTCCTTTCAACTGTTGATCCATACATGTGAAGGGTGACCGTGACCCGTTTGTCACAATAGAATTAGACAAGCAAGAAACAAATTTACTGCGTGATTATGGAAGACTCTCGTACACGGGCTCAGTCCAAAGGGATAGGCTTTTTAGTCACTTTCTTCTCATAATTCCAAATTGCTTTTTAGGCTGGTTAGCTCCATCAGCCATACATTTGGGTGCCTGTTTTTTCACCTCTACTCCCCTCCCCACAATGTCACTTGTTCCCGTCTTTCATTTTTGCCGGTTTTCTAGGTATGAGGTGAAAGCTCGGAGTTCTCTTGTATTTTTCTTGTTATTAGTGATTTGAAGCATTCTTTCATATGGCTCTTAATAGTTTGAAATTTCTTAAAGGCCATGTTTGTGGCGTTAGAAGCTCAGGCATGGCTTAACAAGTTGGAAAGGCTTCAAGGACTGCCCAGGGGTGGACTTTCTGTTTATAGAGGACCAGCCTAGCTCAGGGCAGAGGCTCCTCACTGGCCTGGCTGCAGGGGAATGAATTTTGGGGGCCCTCGCAACTGTCCAACACTATCTACCTGAGGTGATGTATGTAAAGTGCTTTGCAAAACCTAAAGTATGATTTAAACCTCTGCTGTATTTGTAATGGTGGTGATGATGACTAAACCATGGCAGGATTGTGATCTGTGTTGGTAAATGAAATAGAAACGCTAATGAAATCATGGATCCTGATGATTATGGAAGTATAAGGAAAGACTTTTAAGTCAGTTGTTTTAAAAAGATGATTCTAAAAGGGCCTTACCATAAACAAATCATATTTACATGCCTCCTCATCGCAAATAAAGGGCAACTAGCTAGTGCCTTACATAGAATGCCAAGATTGGAGTCAGGAAGAGCTGTGTTCAGTCCAGCCACAGACACTTGACCCTGTTTGCCCCAGTTTCCTCATCTGTAAAAATAAACTGGAGAAGGAGATAGGAAACCACTCCAGTATCTTTGCCAGGAAAACCCTGAATGGGGGGTCACAAAGGGTTGGGCACAACTGAAATGATTGAACAACATCATAAATAAATTATAAATATCTGTAACCTTCATTATCATAAGTAAATTACAAATATTTGCCATCAGAAACTTCAAAAATATGGGCTCATGTTGCATCTGGCCTCATTTAAGGTAAACCTCAACAAGCCCTTGTTAAATAGTGGCCTAAAAGTAGAGAGAGGTGATCTTTGTAGCATTTTTTCCCTAGTGGAACAAGTCAGCTGGAATACTTGTGGTTGTCTTGCCTAAAGGCAGAGAGAAGGTTCAGTATCTTTTGAAAATCTCCTTCTAGTTCTCTGACCCAGTGATTAAATCATGCTAATCTAAGGGGGAATTGATTTATTCTTTTATAAGGAGGAGGTAATTCTCACGTCCGAGCACATTATACATCAGTCCCTTTAGCCCGAGGGTTGTGTTGTGCCCTGGGTCCGCTCTACCTCTCTGAATGATCTGCAGCAGTAGGCTGTAATTGCTGGATGGTGTTGACTCTGTCAGATCCTTACCCACGGACTCTTGGGGCTCATAGCTCCACTGTTCCTCACTGCTTCTCAGGGAGCTCGACTTTCCCACTTTGAAGGCTGAGGAAGTATAGAGCTATGGGTTTGTGTGACCCAGAGGTGCCATAAGGTAGACTATAATGGCAGGACCCATATTTACAAGAATTTGTAGTCTTGACTAGAATCAGATATGGGAAGATTTGAGTTCAGTGCTATTAATTTCTTTTATTCCGCCTCTCTCTATATATGTATTTTAAATTTTATTGATCTCTTTTGGTTTTTCCATCACAGTTTTCCTGATATCTTCCTTCTCTCTTCACAAGAAACAAAAACAAAAACAGTTAAAGCCAATTCCTGGGCAGCTAGGATAGAGCCGTGGGCCTGGAGTCAGGTAGATTGTCTTCATGAGTTCCAGTCTGGCCTCAGACGCTTAGTAGCTGTGTGACCCTGGGCAAGTCACATCGCCCTGTTTGCCTCCGTTTCCTCATGTGTAAAATGAGCTGGGAGAAGGAAACGGCAAACCACTCCATTATCTTTGCCAAGAAGACCCCACAAGGGGTCACAAAGAGTCAGATACGACTGAAGAACACCTGACCAACAAAACCGATTCTGACGAACAGCGTAGACTGCGTTCAGTACCTGTTAAGTCCTCCACCTCTCTCCAGGGAGGGGGCATGCTGGTTGCATCCGCTGCCCCCTGAGCCAGTGTTGGTCATTGCTGTTCATTTCGCCGTTTTTCTTAACCTCAGTATCATTCTGAAGAAACCTGAAGTTTCATTCCTTTTTAGTTATCTTCTTTCCAATCGCATTTCATTCTTTTAGCCACATCGTCCTTATTAAGGCCACTAGAGGAGACCCATTGTCTTGGTTTGAAAATCTCTTGTAATTCCCGTAAGGATACTTTGGTTTTCATGGCGGTTCAGCCTTTGCATCAAGAATCCGTGGCTGACATTCATCTTCTTATTTAATTTTTAAAAGTGATTTCCTCGTTGTGCTTCTCTGTGGCCTCAGAATTACTTGGCACGTTCATCGTTAAGCAGGGGCCTGTGTTCCTTTTGGCTCTGTTTATCCGATCAAGACTTGGCAAATTAAACTCTCAGACTGTGGGTCTATCTTGCTCAAATAATGATCTCTTCTTTCCCTCTGGCTGGTTTGTTCTTTTAAGTTTTTTTTCATGCTTAAAAACTTGTTTCATACCTAAAGGATTGAAATCCACTGAAAGCAGACCTTCAGGGAGGCTCCCTCTAGCTTTAGAAAACGGGTTATCACAGTCCAAAAAAAGCTTGTTTTCAATTAGTGTAAAATGTCTCATTATGCCTTTTTGAGTATAAGATTATTATGGGAAGTATATTTAACTTGAAGAAAGTTAATAAATTACCAGGGCTTTTGTTTTTTTTTTTCAGACACTAATACTAACCACGGTCATAAATCACCTGTATGACAAGTCTGAGTAAAGTGGTTGTTTTGAAATTTGCATTATCCCTGATGTTCACGTTTCCATCAAATCATCCTCTAATGTTTCATCATGATCTGGAAGGGATCCTGGATTCTGGACAGCTAATAACAGCACTTACCTCCCAGGATAGTTATGAAAATTAGATGAGATAATATTTATAAAATGCTTACTTAGCACAGTGCCTGGCACATAGCAGGCCTGTAATGAGTGCCCATTCTCTTTCCCTCCTTCGTCTCATCCCCAGCCTTGTGACTATGGGAAAGGTACTGAATCTCTGAGCCTCTGATTTCTTTGACTATAAAATTCAGGTATAAATATTTACTATGGTATTTGTGTCAGGTGAGATAATGTATATATAAACTGCTTTATAAACCTTAAAGCCCCATATCAATGTCAATTCTTAACAATAAAGGACTGGGCATGTGTTCATGGCTGATGTCATCGATCAGCAGGCATTAAATAGCTACTTTGTATCAAACTCTGGAGATATGCATGCAAAGAATGACACAATCCCTACCCACGGGGAGCTTCCATTTTAGCGGGTAGACGCTGAGGATATAGATGAATATATTCAGAATAAATAATAACGAAATGAGGTGGCAGGTGGTTAAACACAAGGTAGTTTGGGAGGGAGGGCACCGTGACTTTGGATCAGATGCAGGTAGTACTTGAGCTGAGTCTTCGAAGAAGGAGGTTACTCAAGATCCTCTTTGCTTTGGGATAAGCGGCGTGACCAGTAGGGATATTTGCCAAACATTTCTGAAATAAAGATGCAAATTTTAGCAAGAGTCCTGAAAATCACAGCCGAGCAGAATGTTAGGGATGATATATTTAATGGGTCAAGTGGAAAAAATTGTGGAGAATGACCACTATGATGGTGGAAATTGGGGATGTATTGATATTAACTAATTAAATGTCGTTTTAAGTGTGGATGATTTTTCTATGCCCCTGTTTCTTTTTAGAAACCTGATTCCCTTACGACGGGAGCTGGTATCCCCGTCGGAGACAAACTTAATATTCTGACTGTTGGACCTCGGGGGCCCCTTCTTGTTCAAGATGTGGTTTTCACTGATGAATTGGCTCACTTTGACCGGGAGAGAATTCCTGAGAGAGTTGTGCATGCCAAAGGAACAGGTGAGATGTGCATTTTATCTGGTGCATCGTAATTATTTTATCCTACCTGGGTTGAGATGGGCATTCTCAAGCCCTAATTTTATACTCTTGTCTTAATGATGAAATAGTTTGCCCAGTTCTAGCATAGACTTTGAATCTCTGCCCTTAGAAGTTTCTGTTGGAAAACTTACTCATTTACCAGAGGGTAAGGAGGAGACCTGAATCTTATCGTGTAACCCGTCATGCTCTATCTTTCCATTCATCTCTCCTGATGGTTTTGCCAGATTTTTCATCATGGTTTTTCATTAGGCATTATGGTGTCTTCATTGAGTGACTGTTGCCATTCTTGCCTCTAAGGTGCCTTTTATGCTTTCCTCCCCCAGCCTATAATTCTTTGTCTCCTTTCACAAATGTTACTTTTCTTTAAGCCCCGGCTCAAGACTTTGCACCAGTATGAAGTTTCCTCTAGTGCTTTTTAGATGTCTTTGGCTACTTCCCTGAATTCCAGCTCGGTGCCCCTGGCTTAGCACCCCAACACGGACACCTCATTTCCTGTACATTGTAGATTGTAAGCTCTCCAAGGGCAGGGAGTACCTCTCACTTCTCATAGGTAGGTACAAGATAGGGACCCATTCTATACTTGAACGATTGTTCATAGTGGTGCTTTCTGTTCTTGTCTCGTAGGAGCATTCGGATATTTTGAAGTCACTCATGACATCACCAAATATTCCAAGGCAAAGGTCTTTGAGCATATTGGGAAAAGGACTCCGATTGCCGTTAGATTCTCTACAGTCGGTAAGTCATCACTTTTAGTTACCTGAGGACCATTGCTTTGTAAATTGCACTGTCTGCTTTGTTATTATTATTGGCTCCAGCCTCGCTATGGGACCCTATGTGGATAGAGTGCTGGGCCTAGAGTCAGGAAGACTCAGATCCGGCCTCAGACTGTGACTCTCTCTGTGACCCTGGGCAAGTCACTTGACCCCGTTTGCCTCTGTTTCCTCATCTGTAAAATGAACTGGAGAAGGAAATGGCAAACCACTCCAGGATCTCTGCCAAGAAAACCCCAAATGGGCTCACAACTGAAACGACTGAACAACAACAACAACAAATATCATTCATGCAGAAACAGGCTTCTTTGAGGTTAAAAAAAAAAAAGGAGGAACTTTGAAAATAGAGCAAGATTTCAAAAAAACAGAAATTTCCTGATACTTGTTAGCAAACCACTTATATCTTACCTGCTGGAATCTTGAGTAGTAACACTTAGGGGCTGTGACTTCCTGATCTGTTACTGAAACTCTCAGGAATTAGTTGAGAGTTTCTTTACGAGCACTACTTCAGAGCCCTGAAGTTAAGATTTTAGGCCCCTCCCCAAATTGTTTTTTGTGGGTTTTTTTGTTCCCCTTTTATTACGATATAACAAATTTGATTACAAATAAGGAACTTGTGTTTTAACTCTGCTTAGCATCAAACTCATGATATGGCAGTTCACTTATTCCTCATATTTTTTCCTTAATTTTCAGTTCCCTTTAAAGCTTTTTATCTGGAAATTTTGATTCGTTGTGGAACTGAAAATACCTTAGTATTAGTCCAAGACAGTTTGAAAGTTTAGCCTTATGATCACTTGGGCCTTTATTATGTTCCCTATTTTATCTGAACGAATAAATGAAAGAGCATTTCTTAAGTGTTTACTTTGTGCAAAGCACTGTCCTAGGCACTGGGGTTTCAAGACAATCAAGATAGCCCCAGCTCACATTCTAACAGGGAGAAACAACCATACTTAGTACTTTTTACCTTCTTATTTGTCCATTTCCTAGAGTGAATTAACATAGTAAGTTAGAGAAGTGATCATCTAAATACAAGGGTGGGGAACCTGGGGCCTCAAGACCACATGTGGCCTTGAGGCTGCAGATTCCCCACTCCTGATAGAACACCAAGAATTTAATTTACTCTCCAAAGTGGCAGGAGAATGAAGCGCAGGGTTGTTTTGGCCTTCTCGGAAGACTGTATGCTCTCTAACATCTGTTCACGGTTCCTCTTCCAGCTGGCGAATCTGGATCAGCGGACACTATCCGTGACCCTCGAGGCTTTGCTGTGAAATTCTACACTGAAGAGGGGAACTGGGATCTCACAGGAAATAACACGCCCATCTTCTTTATCAGGGACCCACTTCTGGTAGGTGAAATTGTTGTATATCTTGTACTTGAGAAGACTTGCTTCAGAAGGCCAAAGGAGAGAAAGGGGCCTTTGTTCCGAGATTGCCCAGTTGTCTTTATAGGAGACCCATTGCAAATGAGGTCTTGCATTTCAAGATCAAGAGAACAAGTGGCATTCTTAGTCTTGGGATTTGATATTGTCATCATAATCATGGCAGCCCTATGGGATCTTGAGAGGAGGGGCCTCCTTTCTCAGGGCATATAGTGAAGGTTTGGGGGGGGGTGGGGTGCTGGGAGACATGCAGGACTTTGTGTGGAAGTTAAACAGATAGATTAGTCTGTGGACAGTTTAGACAATAGCTGGGCACTAGCTAGATATAGTAAATAGAGCATTTCGTTGTAGTCTGTTCAAGATTCTGACTTACTTGAACAGCATCTTGATATAAAGGCTGGATAGCTGGCCTTGGAGCCAGGAAGATCCAAGTTCAAGCCCAGCTTCTGATTCATATTAGCCAAGTGACTCTGAGCACTCACTTCTCCGTGATCAAGCTAATGCCCTGAGAAGGTGCTAACCTGTGTCGGTTCATCTGGGAGTTCTCTACCCCGGTGGAATCTCTGATCACTTCCATCCTTCTGTTCCTTTACATTGTACTATTTTAGATTGTGAGCTCTTTGAGGGCATGGACTCTCTAGCTCCATTTTGTGTCCTCTGCCCTTTGTACCGTTCCTGGCCCATAGCAGGTACTTAATAAATATTTATTGACGGACAGGAACCAGTATGATTGGTTAAATGTGCAGTATATTCTATGACTTAACCCTCAAGCAAATATGGAAGAGAGGAAGCCATAATTTCTGTAACCTGATTTTGGATCTCCCCCCCCCACTTTTGTCCCCATATAGTTTCCATCCTTTATTCACAGTCAGAAGAGGAACCCTCAAACCCACCTCAAAGACCCTGACATGGTGTGGGACTTCTGGAGTCTTCGCCCTGAATCTTTGCATCAGGTAAGAGTGGTTGTCTTTTACTGCATTGTAATTATTCCCCATGAGGGAGGAATTTATTAATGCTTTATTTCATGGGATTTGGGAAATCATTTTGGGAATGGCCTTTACCTTTCCTCTTGAGGGGCTTCTTCTGATTTCCTAGGGAGACTGTTCTATGACAGAGGTGGGGAACCTGTGGTCTTGAGGCCACATGTTGGCCCTCTAGGTCCTCAAGTGTGCCCTTTGATGGAATCCAAAAGGCAAAGGACCTCACTTGAGGACCTAGAGGGCCACATGTGGCCTCAAGACCACAGGTTCCCCACCCCTGTTTCATGATTTTTTTCTTTAAAAAAACCTTAAACTGCTAATGTAACCAAATTAGAGTTAGATTGGTAGAGGAAACAGATTGATAATCTGATTTATCATGAAGTGTTTAATTGTGTTTGGGGCATGAAAAGTGAAGATGACATTCTTGTGGGTATATTTTTCTTTTATGATTCAGGAAATAGGAGTGTAATGGGCAGTGTGCTACCACCCACTCTGTATCGTCTCGGTGTTTTGCTGTAGCGTGGGTAAGAATCTGTTTGGCCATTTTGCCTTGAATGAGATTTTCTTCTCCTTGCCTCCCAGGTTACTTTCTTGTTCAGTGATCGTGGAATTCCGGATGGCCATCGTCACATGAATGGATATGGATCTCACACCTTCAAACTGGTTAATGCTCAAGGGAAAGCAGTTTACTGCAAATTCCATTACAAGGTGATTCTCAGTTAGCTTTCCAGATATAGTCAGCAGGATTTTTTAGATCTTTCATTCAACAAATATTTGTTGAGTTCAAGTAAATGAATGATTCTGAACAGTAGAAGCAAAATTCTCCTTTTTTTTCCCCTCAGAATCAAGTTGAATTCTTTGCTTTTGGAAGGTACTAAATCGTAGGATTTTAAGACTGAAAAGAACCTTTTAAATGACCTAGTTCAACCCCCTCATTTTGCAGGTGGGGAAGCTGAGACCCAGAAAGAGGGAGTGATTTTTCCCTAGGTGACAAAACTAGTTAATTACAGACCTGGGCCTAGACCTCAGGTCTTTTGTTACCCAGTCTAAATGGTCATTTTATCAGCTAATACTGCCTCTTATTAATTGGAATGTTTTAAAAGGAGCTTTTCTGTATGATACTGGTATTCATAACTATAAGTACTAGGCCGGGGTAGGGAACCTGTGGCCTCAAGGCCACAGGCTCCCCACCTCTGTTAGGCATTGAGAAGTCAGCTTTCTTTAAAAGAAGAAGTCTATTTAGTCACATTCTGAGCTAATTCGAATATCATAAAATGGAGACAATGTGCTTTTTGTTTAAAACAAATTTGTATTGATCTCTTTTGTTTTTAATATTGCTTGTATTTTCCATTGTATTATTCCTCCACCCCGTGCCAGAGAGCTATGGGAATGTACATTTGTAGCACTTACTGAAAAAAATAAAATTATATGTCAGTAAACAGTTATTAAGTTCCTACTACGTGCCAGGCACTGTGCCAAGCACTGAACATAAAAAAGAGTCAAAAGACCATCCCTTTCCTTAAGGAGGATACTTTACAATCTAAAGTATACTGTGTATATATGTTCATTTGTTTCACAGATATTTATTAAGCACCTGCTAGAAATATTTTTATAGAACAAATTTTCAGTATTAGACAAACACAGTTCCTTGGCTCTTCTAAAAATTAGTGTTGCCAAATGGCGTTTAATGACCTAATAATGGATTTGAAATTTGGAAATGATGTTACTCAAATATACTCTCTGTGGGTCGTTTAATTATCATGGAAACCAGCAAAGGGCCCTTACTTATGACCTCATAGTCCTTTTCTTTGTGGCTTGTTAACTTTAGACAACTTTGCCGGTTAAGCTCAGTCTAAGTGCTTCTGTTGTTTTTCTCTTTTAGACTGACCAAGGAATCAAAAATCTTTCTGTTGAAGAGGCTGCAAGACTTGCTCAGGAAGATCCCGATTATGGCATTCGGGATCTCTTTAACGCCATTTCTTCGGGCAACTACCCATCCTGGACATTTTACATCCAGGTCATGACTTTTGAGCAAGCAGAGTCATTTCCATTTAATCCATTTGATGTCACTAAGGTAAGGCAAATTAAAGGCTTGGGTGGCCTGTCACTTCCTTACTCTGTATTGAGTATGGAAAAGGAAAAGCAGATTATATGCCAGCAACCTCCAGGATGGTATTGTCCTAGAATTTTCACAGAATGTTTCATTCTGGTGTGTAGTTCCACTGCAGGTGGTCAGTGTGCTAATGAGCTCTTCCAGCTGCTTGGAATCTTATGTATATTAGTCAAGGGTTAAATTTCGTGAAAGACGCTCTCTGAATTTGCTGTTGCCCAGAATTTGACCAGTGTAGATGGTGGCCTCAAAAATGATCCTCCTGAAATACAGGAAATGGGGTATAGAAATCTGTTCTGCCTTACAGGAAAATTGAAGGGGAAGGGGATAAGAGAAGTGGGGGAGAGATAGAAGGGAAGGCAGACTAGGGGAAGGGGTATTCAGAATGCATGCCATCTTGGGGTGGGGGGAAGGGCAAGATGGAGGGAAAATTTGGAACTCAAAATCTTGTGGGAGTAAATGTTGAAAACTAAAAATAAATAAATTTATTAATTAAAAAAAAAAAGAATGATCCTCCTGGCTTTTAGTATTTGTCATAATCACTGACTTTGTAAGACGGGATGCCAGGATTTCAAAAAGTAGTTTTTACTTTTTTTTAGCTTATCTGTCCCATGTTATGCTTCTCTCATTTCCAGGTTTGGTCTCACAAAGACTATCCTCTTATCCCAGTTGGTAAACTGGTCTTAAATAGGAACCCTGGGAATTATTTCGCAGAAGTGGAACAGCTAGCCTTTGACCCAAGTAACATGCCACCAGGCATTGAGGCAAGCCCTGATAAAATGCTGCAGGTAAGCCTAAGCCTGGTGGGTTTCTGTATTGTTCAGACCATCCTAGACTAACCTTCAAACCAGCCTCACCTTGAGTTGGAAGTTGGTGATGTTACATGCATGGGAATGCTTTGGGGTGAGATCATCAGTCAATCGGTGAACATTTATTAAGTGCCTACTGTATTGCCAGGCACTATACTAAACAGCAGGGGTACAATAAGGCAAAAGACAGTTCCTGCCCTCAAGGAACTTACAGTCTAATGAGGGAGACCACAGGCAAACAAATATATAGAAAGGAAGCCATACAGTAGGATAATTAGGACATAATTAAGAGAGGGGAAGCTCGAATTAGGAGGGGTAGGGGAAGGCTGCCTGTAGAAGGTGGGATGTTAGTTGGACCCAGGGAGATCAGTAGTCAGTGGAGGAGGGAGAGCGTTCCAGACATGGGGGACAGCCAGAGCCAAGAGATGAAGGAGTCTTGTTCGTGGAACAGCCAGGCAGCCAGCATCACTGGATAAAAGAGTGCATGTTATCCCACTAGGCCTTTTCACTACCAATCCCTTAAATTCCACTTAATAATGAATAGCGTTAGAGCGAGAGTCCATTAGGGTTTTAAGATTTTGGCATTTCCCTTTTTTTTAAATGTGTCTCAGAAAAATATTTTCTCTTTGTAATTACAGAGTGCCTGGCCCATAGTAGGTGCTTAATAAATGTTTATTGATTGATTATTCAATATTAGTCATTGAAGGAGGGATGGGCAGTTTATTGCTGGGAATTAATAAGCATCAGGATGCCTTATTCAAAACTCTTCTATTAATTTACTCTTTTGTCAGTGTGGCCCTTCAGTTTTTCCATTTGTAAACAGGAAAATCTCGATGATTTTGAGTTTCTATTGCTGATGTTAAAGATGCACCACTTTTGCCTTAATTATTGTCCTTATAGTCCTTAATATTGGGTATATTTGGCATAATTTATGATGTGAGCCCATACACACCCATAACATGAGGAGGGAGTTTTAGCTACTTTCCTTAGATAAGAATGCAATGGGAAAAGAGTTGGTTTAATAAATTACTGAGCAATTATCTGTTTTTTTGAACTGTGTCCATGAACCAAAGTTTAACCAGAAGTGAAGTTTTTATAAACCTATCACAATTACTACCTCTTGTTTTCTTACATGATATTATATCTTAATATACTGATTATTATTATTATTGAAATTAAATAGCTGTAGAAATAAATCTGAATGTTAAATACTCTTTATGGGACTCCACAATTTTTTTCCCAGTCTTTGTTAACATAAAATTGAGATTTTGCATTGCTGTAATGAATATGGACATTCTGTTTTGTGTTGTGCTTTGCAAAGTTAAAATTATTCCATAGACTTGTTACTTGTTTTTAATAGCTAGGCTGTTTGGTTATGGCACCATACTGCAGCTTGCTTAACCGTTTCCCTGTTGTTGGGTGTTTGGACCTTTTTCTATTATTTTGGAAACTTCCCAACTGTGTGAAATGTCCCCTAGTACACCAAGAGTAGGGGTGGAGTAGGAGAATATGGGAGGGGCCGTGGCCTCGCTTTTGTTTATGGAGTGATCGCGTCTCTAGCCTTGCCTCTAGAAGGAGAGTCAGCTAAGCCCCAAGCCCAACGTAGAGCCTAGACTGTGCTGTCGGCACAGACAGAGGAAAAAAATTGACCCTGGGTTATTTGCATTGGCTTTGGGAACTGGATTCAGACTGTAAGTGTGGTAAGTTAGCGACCCTGGAGGAATGGGAGAATGAGAACAGTTTGTTCTGACGGCCATGAAGGCAGCTGAAGCAGGCACCGTGGAGTGCGCAGAGCTTGGTCAGACGTTGAAGACAACAAGGTCACCCAGTGTATCCCAGGCCGTCGCCAGTTGTCTTGACTTTTGTCTTACTTCTGGACTTCGATGACTCTGGAAGAGAGAGACTGACGACCTCGTGCAACTCTGCCTCACTTCAATCCAGTTCATGTCTGAGTCGAGACATGACCCTGGGGTGTCATTGGTCCTCTGAACTTGGAGGGTGAGCAAGTGAAAAGAGCACTGAACTAGAAATTTAGCACAGTAGTGCTGAATCCCAGTAGTTTAATGTCCTCTGAAGTTTGGATTCAGTTAAAGGGTCACGCTTGAGGACCTGGAGGGCCACATGTGGCCTTAAAGCCACAGGTCCCCCACCCCTGCTCTAGGACCTTGCTCTTGCCCTACGTTTTCTTGCTGTAGTAGACAGAGTATTTTGACCACCATTTAATCTTTTATGATTAGATTTGTGTACATCAGGTTCATCATTTTAAACTAGCAGCGCCGTAACTATTTGCGAATGTAGAGCATATTTGTGAAAGAACTGATTTGTAGTGGGAGTGTTTTCTCTTTTATTGAACTAAATTATCTTATTTTCTAGTCTCTTTCTTTTAAAAGTGGCATGTCGTAAAAAACCACTGAGGGTTGCAGTAGGGTTTTGGTTAATCAGGTCCTTTTAAATTAGTAACTTCCATGGGAAAAGAAGCTAAACAAATACGATTTGGCTTTGTTGGTAATTTGTAAACTGAAAAAAAATTGAGGTGATTATCTGCGTAGAATAGATTTTAAAATTAATGTTGGCTTGACTTGGACTACGTCGTGGAGAATAAACAACTTTTCAGTAAGGATGATGTCTGTAATAAAGGCTGAACCCGGCCTCCAGTGGGCTATAGGCAGTGTTTTGCAGTCATTATTTTGTATTTGGTGCTTTATGGCATTATCTTCCCTTCTGTTAATTAAATAGAGTAAATAAACGTTTACAACTTGAAGTAAACATTCAAATTCATTATTTTAGGGCCGTCTTTTCTCATATCCTGATACCCACCGCCACCGTCTAGGACCCAACTATCTTCACATCCCTGTGAACTGTCCTTACCGAGCTCGAGTGGCCAACTACCAAAGAGATGGACCCATGTGCATGTCTGACAACCAAGGTATCCCCCAAACTCTTTGGTACCCTGTGCAGGAAGTTTACTGTGAAATTTGTGGGGTCTCAGGATTTAGATCTGGAAAGTGGCCTTCAGGAGGCCATTGAGTTCAAACTATAACATTTCTGGATGAGATAAAGTAAGACTCAGAGGGTTGTGGCTCACACAAGAGCATGCAGGGTAATGAGAGGCAGCCCTCAGATGTGAGCCCCAGGCATCCGGGGACTGGGAGTCTCACACTTTTCCGTGATGCCACTTTCCTTACAACAGCCTTGTAAAGTGTGAATTATGTTACCATTATGAATTATGGACCATTTTGGCTACTAAAAAGGGAAGTCTATTCAGTAAAAAAAAAAATCTGGGATTTATTATCAGCTCATTGAATTTTCCACTTTGCAACAAGTTGTTTTGATGATTCATACATAGCTAAATATAACAAATTACTTTAATCTGCCCTCTTGAATTCTTGAGTATCTTTATGGGAAACTGAGCCCACTTCTCTCCCTTCTCCCAGCCCCCCCAATATACAAAATATATATCCGTGATAGACCGTATGTAACTTTATACGATTTGTTAGGAGCTTAACTTTTAATATCAGCAAAATCAATTAAGTATACTGTAGGACTTTTACATTTGATTACTGTATTTCATCATATTCTTGTATATCTGAGAAGTCACTGATGTTCCCTCGTAGGTGTGTCACAGGGGGTCCGCCCAGTGTGTTGGGACTTCCTCTCATGTTCTCTTGACAGTGTAAGAATATCAGTGGAGACTCAGGCCGATGGATAGTTTTCTCTTTTCTTGCCTAGCTTTGTGGCACATGCTTCTTTGATGGCATCCTTTCTATCATTTCTCCTGCATAATCTTGTTAGCCATAATTTACAGCCAGTCATGATCACCACTTGCCTCTCCATCACCTGATCCTCACTTCAGTTCTTTGTAGCAATTGTCAGTCCCTTCCTGTGTCCCTTTCACTTTCATTTTGCCCATTCATCCCTGGGTATATTTTTAGATTTAATTTTCTCTCAATCAGTGGTAATCCACTGTCTCTCCTTCCCACCTCACCTTTTCCTCATTTAGAAAGAAAGAAAAACATTTATGGTCAAGCAAAACAAGTCATCCCACTGTCCGTGCTATCCCAAAACATGCTTCCGTCTACATTCTGAGTCCATCATGTCTCTGTCAGGAGGTGGGAAGCGGGTTTCATCAGGAGTCCTCTAGAATTCCGGTTGGTCATTCCTAAGTCTTTAGAGTCGTTTGTCTTTCTAGCATTGTTGTTATTATGGTATAAATTGTTTTCCTGGTTCTGCTCATTTTACTGTGAATAGGTTTACACAAACGTTCCCAGGTTTCTCTGAAACCATCCCCTTAGTCATTTGTTACAGCATCGTAGTGTTTGATTACATTCACAGACCATAATTTGTTCAGCGGTTTCCCAAATGATGCACACCCCCTTTGTTTCTAGTTCTTTGCTGCTGCAGAAATTGCCTCTACAAGAGTTTGTTTGTTTAGGACTAATGCCTCTCTTACTCTGCCCTGCTTTTCTTTCCCTCCTTTCCCCACCTTGAATGAAATGTATTTCTATACCCAAGTCTGTGTGTTTATGTGTGTGTGTGTGTGTGTGTGTGTGTGTGTGCTCACACACGCGGGCCCTGCTTTGCTCAGTCAGATGAGAGTGAAGCTCAGTTGTCGCCTGTTCCCCCCGACCCTTTCTAACTTGTGCCCATCAATTATACAAGAGAATCTTCCTCATCTTTCTTTTCCCTTCCCCCTACCCCCAGTGGAGTTTTCTTCTCCTCTCTTCCCTTTCTATTAAGATCATCCAAACATAACAGAACCATTCCCAGGCCCTTCCATGACTCCTGATGGTGATTGGATTCTGAGGGGGCGTTGTAGCATCTCTGCAGATTAGAATGTGAGCGGTTTATGTTTTCCTGGTCAGCCGTTTTTGCTATGAGATTCCTTACATTTTCTTTCTTTCTTTTTTTTTTTTTTTTTTTTTTTTTTAGTCTTTTGACTTTGATTTAAGTTTTCTTGTTGCCGTGTGGAGTCACTGGCTTCTCTTTTTTTCATTCTGATTTTCAGGGAATGTGTCGCTTGGCTTAGATTTGTGCTTCCTGTGCCAGACTTATAAATGTGTTCATTCCTTTTCCAGTTCTTTTGTCCTTGGCTGTCATATCTTTTCCCAATTTTTCTCTGAGCACTCTCATTTTGTTGATAAAAATATTTTTATTTATTTGTTCATTTTTTAGTTCATTCTTCATCTCTTCCAGGAATTCTAGTTGAACTGGTACCCCAGCTATGTTTGTCCTTATGTGGTTTTCCTTTTACTAGTTCTACTTAGTATGTGCTTAGTTCATTTTCTTCTCTTTGCAGCTATTGTTTCTTATAGATTTTAATATTTTTTCATATTTCTCATTAATCTAAATGGCATTTTCAGTTAAAAAACTTTCATTAAGCACTTATACTGTGTTGGGTACTGGAAAAACAGGCAACACCGGAACAATCCTAGGATCATAAATGTAGAGCTGGAAGAGATGTTGGAAGCCATCCCTCCCCTCCCCCCTTTGCCTTTTTGTGGATTCTCTCATATAAAAATATCTTCTTACTACACAGTGCCAAGTCCCCTCCATCCCTCCTCCCACCGCCTTGTACCTATCCTTTTTCTTTTTAATGAGATCTAGAGATCCTGTACCACCACATCTCACTGATGTCTGCAAGGTTAAATTGACTTCTTGCGTTAGGATTTCCAGTTCATCTTACTTATTAACCTGATTTGTGTGCATAGAAATCAGAGGCTTTTTTCCCCCCTTGGAATTTTAGTCTTCTGTAACTTTCTGGGCAAGGTTACTGCTATTTTAGCTCTTTCTTATGTGTATAGCGTTGTTGACACATGTAGGTGTTTTTTTTTTCCCCTTAATTTTTATCTTAAAGCCCTTTTGATTAGCTTTGTAAAACCTGACTCCTTATGGCCCTTGGCAGGTGCTTTCCATCTCTGGCCAGGAGCCCATCGCTTGCATTTTCAGCTGTGGCTCAGAAATAGGAAAACCAAAGGAGGACTGGAAGTTGGTGTCGCTTACGTTTCTTTATTTTTAGGGAGGTTGAACATGTTTCAAGTTGTTATTTACCATGTGTGGTTTTTATTCTGTAAATTTTTATATACCTTTAACGATTTGTGTGGGAATTGGGTTTTGTTCTCAAATGTTTTTCTCCATCTCTTATAAATTTTAGAAGTTGTTTTGTGTTACATTGGCCATGAGTGGTTTTCCCAGCCTGTTTTTCTTCTTATCTTGATTAGAAAGAAATTTTTAGTTTTTTGGTAATTGTATACCATGTGCCTTGTCCCCAGTGGTTTCTTCTTTTTGCTCAGTAGAAAGAATTTTATCTCCGTAATTGAGATTAATACATTGTTCTATTTTCTTGTATTTTTATGTGTTCTTTTTAATGGTTGTCTATATTCTAGCTAGAATTTAAAGTGTTACCTTGTGTAAAGTCTGTGTCTAAGTCCACTTTTCACTATGTTGCTAATCACTTTTTCCTAGCAGTCTTTATTCAATTTATACCATCCCCCTATTTTTTATATCTTTTATCAAACTCTAATCTTTTATATGCATTTGGTGTACTGTCTGGGGTCTGTATTTTGTGTCACTATAATTGCTTGAGAGCATGTCCTAAAATCTAGAAGTTCAAAGCACACTCAGCAGTTTTGTTATGATTTTACCCAGTTCTTATCCTAACCGCGCCATTTTATTCTTGTAAAAGCTTTTTTAAAAAAAATTCATTTAATCTAATTTGACTGTTTTATCTTTCATAAACTCCTTTAAGAATTCTCCCTCTAGAGAGGTAGAATGGAGTAAATTATCTCACATAAAACAGATAAGAAAAGACTTTTACCATGGAGGGGAAATGGGAGAAGGTGAGAGGGAATGAGGCAATCTTATTCTCATTGGATTTGGCTTAAGGAGGGAATAACATACACACTCAATTGGGTAAGGAAATCTGTATTACCCTACAGGAAAATAGGGGAGCAAGGGGACAAGAGAGCAGGGAGATGGTAGAGAGGAGGGCAGATTGGGGGAGGGGTTAATCAGAAGCAAACATTTCTAAGGAAGGACAGGGTCAAAAGAGAGAATAAAATAAATGGGGAGTGGGATAGGATGAAGAGAAATATACTTAGTTTTTCACCACAGCAGCAACAAAAAAGAATTCTCTCTTTAGCCATAACTGTAATACATTTTATTTTTATATATATATATATGTATATATGTATATATGTAGATACATACACATTTACATATACACACACATCTTTCTCTGTGTGTGTGTGTATATATATATATGTTCCTCTAATCTTTTTATCACGTGACCTTTTGTATGTAGGCCACTTATCCATTTGGAACTTATTGTTGTTACGTGGTGTAACCTGGTGTTCTAAATCTTTGGTCAGATCACTTTCCCATTTTCCCAGCTATTCTTGTCAAATAGAGAGTCCTTCCCCAAGTCATTTGTGTTCTTGGGAAGGAGCCCCTTCTTAATAAGTAATGGTAGTAAGCATTTTTCGATACGTGATTGGGCCTCTCCTGCTCCCTGACTTTGGACAGCCAGGGGAGCTCAGTGTCCAGGTGAGGCCGTTCTAGCCACGTTGCTGATTGACGTATTCTCCATAGTCTTCGGTAACGCTTCAGCGTGCATGTCATTAAACTTGCCGTCAGTAAGAAGGCTCCAGTTCTCGTAGTGGAGTGGTGCACAATTGTCGGTTTTCTGTTCCTTCGAGGTGGGGCTCCCAATTACTACCCTAACAGCTTTGGGGCTCCTGAGGACCATTCCTCCGCTCTGGAGCACCGCTATCAGCTCTCGGGGGATGTGCAGCGCTACAACAGCCTCAACGAGGACAACGTCACCCAGGTAACGGCCGGCAGCTGCCGGGGCCTTCTGCTCCCTGGGCGTCTCCGTGATCCTGAAGCATGTGGTTGTGACAGAGTGAGCACACGTTGCTCCTACTTGGGAAAAGTCGGAGAGCTGGGTGCCCTGTGCACCCCCCACCCCGCTTCCCCCCCAGTCACAAGCCTGACCCGGGGGGGACATTTAGTGAGACTCAGAGAATTATAAGGGCTCACGTGGTTAACGGGGCCGTTGGTTTTCTTTTTCCCTTTGTACGTGTGGGTGTCTGGGGGGTAAAGTGCCCCTGGATTCAGAGTCACTGTGCGTGCACCCTCACAGAGCAGGAAGGCTGCTCCCCAATCCCCCAGGGGTCCGATAGGTGGGGAGTGCTCCCTCCCATCCCCCACAGGGTAAACTCCTCGAGGGCAGGGATGTTTCTTTGGAGTTTACAAAGTGTTTTCCATCCATCCTCTCCTGAGGCCTTAGTCGAAGGGGTTCAGGCACGACTGTGCCTCTTTTACAGACGGGGCGACCAAGGCTCAGAGAGGCTGTCACCTGCCAGGATGGGGCGAGAGAGATCCCAGGTCTCTGCAGCTCCAAGTCCAGCGTCCGTGCTTTTCGTGACTCCCCGGAAGTCACAAGTTCCATTGGTTTTTTCTAGGATGAGCTGACCCTTTGGCTTCCTGTGTCCTCTCTGTCTCGTTAGGTGAAAACGTTCTACAACATGGTGCTGAACGAGGCGCAGCGCCAGCGCCTGTGTGAGAACATTGCCGGGCACCTGAAGGACGCCCAGCTTTTCATCCAGAAGAAAGCTGTGAGTGATCTGTGTGTGAGGGCCGGTGCCTCGTTCAGGGGGGCGGGTAAAGGCGAGGCCGGAGCGTATTTGGAGCAAAGGACTTCCATGTTCTTTTACCTGATGGTCAAGAGGCCATGGGGACTTCTTCCTTTCTCTCCAGGGTTTACACTGACCCTCAGGCGGAACATTAAAATGCTCAGTCACAATTTCTCTGAGTTCTTAAAATCGGGTGAATTCTCTCCCACTGTTTTAATTTGGCTACTGCCCCATATTGTGCAAGGTTCGGAGCGCTGCCTGATAAAGCTACAGGGCTGACCACGGACTTCATAAGCTGTAGGCAGCGGGAGCGTGGCTTCTGCCCATGGATCGCTGAAGAATGTTGGCGGCTGGCCCTTTTTAAGAAATGAAGTAGGAATTTACTGAGGTGGGGAGAGCCACACGGCCTCTGGAGGAAGCTAGCTCAGGGTGATACTGTTTCCTCAAGCATTAAAAAAAAAAAATCACCTTTAATAAAGTACCTGAGGGGAGTGAAGCCCCCTCCTCCCTTCTGCTCACTGGCCCTGAGCTGACGTGTGTTGACAATCCCTCCACACCTGTCCTCCCCCTGGCTTGTCCCAGTGCTCAGGTTGTGGAGAAAGCTGCTCTGCCTCTCTTCCCAAACCTTCTTCACTGCCCCAGGGCAGGGCATGGTGCGGGCGCAGAGGCCTGATCTGAGATGTCTGTGTGGGGAGTGCTTAACTGTGGGGTCTGATCCCTTCTGCATCCCGGGGATGACCCGCTGTGACCCGGAAAATCTACGTAACATTGTTTGGCCTTCCTTTGGTACCAGAGAAGAAATCTGAATTTTTTTATTTTGTGGGGTGTTTGCAGGACCTTGTTGTGAAATTTGGGTTATTTGGTCATAGTCTCTGTGTCATCTGCTGGCCTCTGGGTGTCATCTGAGGCTTCCACAAAACTCCCCCAAAATTCCCATTTAATTTCTTATGCCGACCCGCGATAGATCGAAACCGCAATGGGGAAAGTCGTGACGTGGAAGGGATAACTGTATTTCTTTGTATCTCTCTGTTCCTGGGCCTTTGCGGTAAAGAACCTCTCCCCCCACCCCCACCCCCACCCTGGACTGGACTGGCTTCTTGCTGGGAATGCCTTCGTTAGGACGCTGGAGAAGTCGCTGCTCCCTCCGTCTCCCCGTCCGTCCGTGTAATCATGATCTGGAGGCAGCCCTGGCACCCATTCCTCCCTTACCCCTGGGCTAGGGGTTGTATTGTGAAGTGGTTTGTGCAGTTTTCAATTTATTTTAATTTGGTTCCAGGTGAAAAACTTCAGTGATGTTGATAGTGACTATGGGTCCCGGGTCCAGGAGCTTCTGGATAAATACAATGCTGAGGGGCACAAGGTAAGACTTGGCATGGTCTGGTAGTCACAGCATGGCACCTGACTTGGGTTAGGAGTGTGTAGCTTTAACTTAGCGGCATTGCCCTACATTTTAGCAGATAACAAGATAATTGAGAAGAAAAGAAAGCTTGGGGCAGCTAGGTGGCACAGTGGATAGAGCGGTGACCCTGGATTCAGGAGGACCCAAGTTCAAATCTGGCCTCAGATACATAACACTCACTCCCTGTGTGACCCTGGGCAAGTCACTTAACCCCATTGCCTAGCCAAAAAAAGAAAAAAAAAGACTTACAAATTAGTTAACTGTAAATGAACTCCAGTTCCAAGCAATTTCTGAATTTCTGTTCATTTTTACCGTTTTGGCTCCTCTGTGATGAGATGTGACTAGAAAGTATAGGACGGCCGAGGCCTGAAATGGATGGATGGTCTTGTGGTCAAACATTGTATCCTCTTTTCTTGTGTCCAGTTTCCTAATGTGGTCATTAGGTTGTGATGGATTAGTCCTTCAGAGTGTTGGCTTTTAGTAATCCCTCCCTTTCACTGCTGGAGACCAGCTAGGGTGATCTTTTAGCTCAGTCACTGGTTTTCCTACCCTTTACCCTTGGTGAAACAGATTCCAAACAGAGGCTCAGTTAAGTCTCCATCGGCCACAGGGCCGGGCTGAATGTCACTGACCCAGCCACACTCGGACCTGTGTGATCATCAGTTTAGGATTCAAAGAGTCCTCCCTTGCCTCATCTAACCCACTCGTTTCTACAGCGGAGGCCCAGAGAGGGTTAGGTGTTTTGCCTAAGGGCACACACGGTAAGGCCCAGGACCTTGGAAGAGAATGTATCATCTTAGCATAGTAATAATGTCCTAAGTGGAAAATACAGTTGCTGCTCTTATGTGTTGCTCTTAAATTAATTTGTCTTCCTCTTTTAAATAGAATGTGATTCGAACCTATACTGAGTCTGCACCTCAATTGGCTGCTAAGGAAAAATCGAATCTCTGAACTCAGCAGAAAGATCTTTTCTCAGCTGAAAGATGATATTACAGATGAAGCTACAAGAAGCTGGTCCTTATGATCAGTTGCCGCACAATATAACACATCTATCTGTATGCTCAATGCTCCCATCTGAAGGCCTGGTTTTATAAAAATATTCACATTTTGCAACCGATAATGCTTATTGTCCGTTAATACTTTGGACCCAGGTTTAGTAGTACTTGGGAAAAATAATTTTTCACATTTATGTTGGAAGTGAAGGTTAATACAGTGCTTTTTAAAAAGTGTGTTTGGTATTGACAGTTGATTTCATGTGAGGAAAATTATTTAGTGGAATTATCAATTTATCTGATAAAAATTATCTCATGAAATTAATGTTCTCATCTTACCTCATTGCCTCTTAAATAAAAAGTAGAATCATTTTTTGGATGGATGATTTAAAAATCAGTTTCTTTATAGGGAAAACATTTTCTGGAGCACCCTTTTCAGGAAATTATTCTGCCACCATCATGTGTGGTTCATTGTTTCTGCTTGGAAATTGTCACCTTCCATTCTTTTTTACCTTGAAATTATGTTTATATTAATGCAGTATTGATTTTTAAAAACAGATTGATTTGTAATCATATTTGCATTTTACAGTAAAATAATCTAGTTAAGAAAGCAAATGGTGTTTGGTTTCTTCTGGTGTGATTTAAGCGGACATTAAAACTTGGAAACTTCAGCCTGAGTCTTCAGTACCATTCACTAAGCATTTATTAAGTGCTTGCTGCATGCCAGGCAGCATGGTAGGTGCTGGGAACAATCTGGTCCCTGCGCTCAAGGACCTTACATTCCACCAAGGAGCTCCCTGTTTGGCTGATGGCCTCGTTAAGTCCCAGCCCCTGCCCCTCTAGCAGATCATGGGATCCCAGCTTTAGAACTGGCAAGGAACCTTGGTGAGCTGGTCCTCCCGCCTCATTGTACAGGTGTGAAGCCTGAGGCCAGAGAAGTGAAGAGTCTTGTTCAAGGCCACACAGCAGTGAAAGGCAGAGCTAGGATTTCAGTGATAGTGACAACAGCTGGCGTTTCCATAATGCCTCAGTGCTTGAATCATGCTCTGTGAGTGGGATCTCACTCCCTCACTCACTCAGGTACTATTCTCTAAAGTAACTTGTCCCTGATCAGAGAGCTGGTCAGAGTCTGAGGTGGGGTGAACTTGTGGCCCTCTAGGTCCTCAAGTGTAGCCCTTTGACCAAATCTAAACTTCACAGAACAAATCCCCTTAATAAAAGGATTTGTTCTGTAAAACTTGGACTCAGTGAAAAGGCTGCACCCAAGGACCTATAAGGCCACATGGGGCCTTGAGGTCTAAGGTTTCCTACCATCCCCACCCTCCCATCCCCCATCCACTGTCCCAAGTCTAGCTCTAATGACACTGTGGCCCCCTTGGGGCCTGATTTGAACCCAGATCTAGATTCCAGATCCAGCTTTGTACCATACCACATCAGACCAGAGGCATGGAAGGGCCCACTGACAAATGAGGGCGCACATCCTACCAGACAGCCTTGGGCCTGAGAGGAAGAAGGCTGCCGGCAGCTAGGAAATGGGGAAGTGATCCCTAGGTCAGTCTCTCAACAACCACCTTTTGGAAAAGTTTGGTCATTTCTTCTTCTGAATTAGGATTTTTGACTGGTTTTTCCTGTTCATCTTTTAAGACAGTAGTTTATTTCTTAAGTTATTTCTGCTTAGTCTACCTTAAAGTGACCCTATTCCCACCAGTTCTCTTCCCCGACCCTCAAGCCTCCCTCCCTTCCCCCACCCTTTGTTTTGGAGTTCCCTTTAACTTACTAATTCCTTTTTTTCCTTCCTTTAGTTCTTCCCCTTTATTTCCCTCTCAGTTAAGTGGTTAATTTTAAGTCCACCTGGGGCAGCCAGGTGGTGCAACGGATAGAGCTCAGGCCTTGGTGTCAGGAGGACCTGAGTTCAAAGCTACTAGCAGTGTGACCCTGGGCAAGTCACTTAACCTCGATTGCCTCACCAAAAAGGAAAAAAGGGGCAGCTCGGTGGTGCGGTAGATAGAACACCAGCCCTGAAGTCAGGAGGACCTGAGTTCAAATCCAGCCTCAGACCAAACACTTGACACCTACTAGCTGTGTGACCCTGGGCAAGTCACTTAACTCCAATTGCCTAAAAAAGGAAAAAAAATTAAATCCCTGCCCCTTCAAGTTCATTTCAGTTTTTTTTTTTAATTTTCCATGCCTTTTTCTAAAAAGGATGTCTTTACCTTGCTCTTTTCACAAGCTCTTTCCCAAACTTCTGTTCTTTGATTCCTGGTCTTGAGGCTCACTTACTCCTCTTTAGCCCCTTCGTGTTCCTCATCAGACTGATGCCCCTGAAGTGCCCATTTTGGATTTGCTCTTACTCTCTGCAGATCCTGCTCCCAGACCTTTGTCCCATCGTGCTTTACACTTAGAGGCAGCAGCTCCTAACAATGGTGGTGAGCATGGACGTTGTGCTCCGTGAAAGAAATTTCTATAGGTCCCCGATCACCAAGTCCAATTCTGCCTCTTCCCCCGTGGACAGTCGCTCAATAAAGTCACCACGTGCTGTGCTAAGCCCTGGGGAGATAAAGAAAGACAAAAGACAATCCCTGCTCTTGCGGGGCTCCTGATCCAATGGGCGGGCGAGCCGACGAGTGACAAGATGGAGACAGAGAATTAAAAACAACAGGGAAGGCGCCAGGATTGAGAGGGGTTGGGGAAGGCTTCCTGTGGAAGGTGCTAGTTTAGTTGGACTTGAAGGAAGCCGGGGAGGTCAGGAGGGAGAGCCTTGCAGGCCTGGGGGACCACCGAGGAGAACACCTGGAGTTGAGAGATAGAAGTGTCCTGTTTGAGGAACGGCAGAGACCAGTGTCACTGGATGGAAGAGTGTGAGAGGAGAAGGGGTGTAAGAAGATAGGGAATGTGGGGAGGGGCAGTTGTGAAGGACCTTGGGTATTAAACAGGATTTTATATTTGATCCTGGAGGTGATAAGATGCTGATTTCTCTCTTGAACCATTTGGGACCATCTTGCTATGGTTCATGCTCTCTTGAGGGCTGATGTTGTCCTCTGTCTCATCAGATATTGGTTCAGTTTCCTTTGTCTTGCAATATTTATTTAGTGACGGGCAGTTACTTGGTGACTTTCCTGTCTTTTATTTTAATAGCTTTCCTCCTGTTTTTTTCTGCTTGAGCTCTAGGTTCTTGACCGAATTTTCCTTCTCCTGAGATCTTTAGTAATTTTAGTTCTAGTCTTTTTTTCCCTTATTGTCCACTTTTTGACTCCTTCTCCCCAGGGGCTGAACCTCGAAGCTGCCTCATCCGTCTTTAGTGAATTTCTTTTAATCAGCCTTTGCCAGGCTCATCCTGGTTGGATGCCACTGCCCTCTGTCCTAGTTCACTAGTTCTCTAGTTCTTTGGCTGAATGCTACTGCCTTAGGTAGAGTATGCTCCTGCTTCCCTATACCTCCCCCTCTTCAGGTGGCTCTACAGAATCCAGATCTGCTGCTTGTTACCACAAAATGGTGGGATGAGGGCAGGGGGCTGGGTATTCAGGCAGAGACTTTAGTAGCAGTAAGGAAATTGCTGAGTGGACCCCAGAACACAAACCTTTCAATTAGGTTTGGTTTGGTACCCCAAACTTAGTTTGGTACCCAAGTATTGGTACCCAAATAGGCATGTTTTGTCCCAGGTCTAAATATACAAGTCCAAGTGGGGATTCTTCAGATATACGTGGCTCCTAAGAGGTCGGTTCTTTTGTGAATTGTCAGCAATGGCTTTTCCTTAGGATTGGCAGTCATATGCTAAGGCCATAATAATGTCATCCAGTCCCATTTATAGTTTCACCAAACACCAGCACACTCCTGGTCTGGCTTTTATCCTCTTTGACAGGACTAATCTAACACATAATGTAAGCAGATTGTGTCTCCTTGTATATTTGAAAAAATGCCTCAGGGAAGGAATGATTCAGGATCTCATAGTTGGAGGTGACCTCAAAGAACATCTGGTACATGAACAGGACTCCCTTCTCACACTTCCATAATAGCATCCATGGTTGTCTTGCCTTCATTGAAGACAGTTAGTCAAACTTCAATGGAAGGCTTTGTTCACATAGAATACCTTTCACTATAATCTGCTTTAACATTACTTTTTTGGGTTGCTGTATTACTCCACTCAATTGTATTGATTTTAGAATTTATTAAGATTCCCAGATCCTTTTTATTGTTTTCTAGCCAGACCTTGCCCATGTTATACTTGGGATATTGACCTGTTGTTGTCTTTATATTCAGTTTTACTTGCTTAAAGTGATGCTTGACATTTTTACCAATGGCTTAGATAAAGGTGTGAATGGCATACTTATCAAATGTACAGATAACAAAGCTAGGAAGGCTGACGAACTAGCCAATGGATGATGGTTGGGATCCAAAGAGATCTTGAAAGGCTTATAGATTGCGCCATTTTGAATAAAATGAAATGACAGATAAATGTAGTCTCACATTCAAATTTTAAAAATTAATTTCACAAGTACATGAAAAGGGACTTAGTGGACTATAACAGTATTAGTCAACATTGTGATTTGGAAGCTGAGAAAGGTGATAAAATTTAAATTTAGGCAGTGTTTTTGAAAGGCAGCATTGGGTAGTGTCCAGGACTAGGGACTTTGCCCTTGACAGATTACATAAGTACTGTATTCTTTTCTGGCACCACCATTTTGAAATGCCATTGGTGAACTGGGGAGCATCCCGATGAGAGCAACTGGAATTACAATGGGCCTTAGGGTCGTGCTACATGAAGACTGGTTGGAGGAACTAAGAACATTTAGCCTGAGGAAATCTCAGAGGGAAGAGGAAGGAAGCCTACTATATGCCAGGCACTATGCCTAGTGCTTTACAAATATTTCATTTGATCCTCACAACAACCTTGTGAAGTAGGTGCTATTATGATCCCCATTTTACAGATGAAGAAACTGAGGCAAAAAGAAGTTAAGCAACTTGTCCAAGGTCACATAGCCAGTAAATGTCTGAGTACAGATTTGAACTCCCGTCTTTCAGACTCTAAGCTTTGAGCTCTACCTACAGTATCACCTAGAACCTAGGTAGTGAGTTCCCTGTCAATGCTAGAATGCAAAGATAGGATAACTAGTTGGGTATGAATGCT